ATCTTAAAATAGCCAAAACTTTTGAAAACAAAGTTTTCGAATAATCAAATTTTGATAGGCTTGTTTCTCATATCACCAATAACGGTTAAGTTGTGGCATAATATTACCGTTATTGTGATCGCATTGTGACCCTTTTTGCATTTCGTTACGCGCTATACTGCGACATTTTCGCATATTTTGGTACTTAAATACACCTGTTCTCTTAGTAAGTCCTATTGATTATGCTTATATGTTTAGTTTCAACTATGTTCACTAAAGACATTACACTTTCGAACTTTCATTCGATCATACAAGAAATTATAAATAATAAATAGCAACTGGTATCAACTTTACATGTTATTCAAACAAGAGTTATGCATAGAAAGAAACAACTTCTTTTACAAAAAATATAATATATCAAGAACATAGATTGTATTATTATTGTAAAATCAAGCGAAAACTTGAGTAATTATCATGTATTAATTGATCTAAATTATGATCGTTCTTATCGGCCAGATTTAATATTACAACTTGTTCCACAATAATGACTTATACCATAATTGTATTTATAAATCAACATAAGATGAAACGAAAATCTAAATGCATAATATAGAGACGTTTATAAGAGAGTATTTGTACATTTGCAATATCAGATAAAAGACTTTTATGATTAGCAACAGTAACATCTGATTTTTGTGAAGAAAACCGTATCTACAATGAAGGAAAATGAAGAAAACATAGAACACTATAAATTATGAATTCGTATGATACATTAGATTTTAATGATAATAATCTGAGGAAGTTCCGCGTGTCAAAGATTCTCAGAAACTATCGATTTCTAATTTGTATTATTGATACTAGAAAGTTTTATCATATACGAAAGACAGTTAGGAAAGATATCCTTCATAATGCTATCATAAGGATAAATGATTATATGAATTCGCTGCTTAGATGCATTTCTTTATATCTTCTTTTAGTGCCATGTATGATTGTCCATATTGTTTCTATATTTATACAATTATGTAACAGCAAAGTAAAAGAGTAGAAATGGACTATATCCGAATTAAAAGTGAATCGAGAAATGTGACTGATGTTGTTACGTGGAAACATTAGTCACATTTCTTAAATCGCTTTTAATTTGTGTAATATGTTTGATGTCGTAGTCGCAATTAGGGATTGTGATCACTTTAATCAATACCGTTGTCAGAATTTGATGGAGCTCACTACTCGTCATCTTATTTTAATGATTATTGATAGAATACTTGGAAAAATAAATTCAACATGTGAATAATATATTCTCGATGTTACTGTTTGATTCTTGGTTGTATATAACGAACAATATGAAACCTGAAAATTTGTAAGAAATAAATTTATTGGATGAACATTGGTTGTGTTTTTTTGACGCTTGATTTTAACATTGTTTCTTTTCAATCGAAACATTATAGAGATTTAATTCAAGATCCATAAAAGACAAGCAATCAGTTGATGAAAGAATTGACGTTTTGACTGTCGAAGAACTCTCCATGGTTTACCTCGTCAGAATGTTCTCATATTAAGAGCAATGTCATAGTCCTAGATGGATCAGTAATATAAAAAAAATTGAAAAATAAATTCAATGCTGAAAATATTCTATAGAAATCAAAATCAAGAAGACACTAGAAACGTTTTTTTTTATTACTAATTACCATTTTTAAGTCGATGTTGTTCAATTAATAATTGATCATCTTTATATTAAAATTCTGTTTTGATATTGTTTCTTATTAAATGAAGGTGTGGGTGTCTATTAGAGTTCAATCACACTCACACCCTAATATCACTAAATTGTTTAAGAGCTTCAGTCAGACAATGTGATTACATTATGACCAAGTCGTCCTATTTATTCATTTAATTTTCGCGGACTTGAATTTTTCCCGTGTTGCTCAATATGAAAGATCGATGACTTAGCTTTGATGTGACGAATAAACTTTTTCTTCTTCGTTAAAACATGCGACCAGCAAAGACTGTTTATCATTTGTTATTGTTGACATAATTGAAAAATAAAAATTGATGATACTATGGCTAAGGCGAGAGGAGAAGGATGGATAGGTTCTCACTTGCTATATCATAAATGAAACTTTGTGCACAACTAGGAAAATCATTAGTCAATTCACATTGAAAATTTTAGAATTTTTACCTATTTCGACTCTACAATCTATCCAGCCCACCTGTCGCATCTATTAAATAAATAAAGATTTATAATAAAATGAATAATGAGAAATAATTTTCAAATACGTGAAATATGAAAAGTGACTTATCAGACACCCTGTAATAACTTTTTAGTCAAAACGAGAGGCAAACAGTTTTCCAATTATCTTCATTAAAAACTATGCTCTATATTTCTAGTAGCTAATTTTATTATTGATTATGCCTTAACAAAGATGTAAACGGACTGGCAAACAATTCATAATATTCTCTTACATAGTTATAATCACGAGCAGAAAAAATTTCATGATAAAATTCTTGTCTTACGTGTAGTGTTGATATACTTAATTGTTTCAGATGATAAAATAAAAAAATACAATAAATGCTAGAGAATTTTTGTAACAGATGAAATCGAACAATTATTGAATCAGACAAACAATAATAATTCAATTGAGTTTATTAAAGTCGTAACTAGATCAGAACGATTGAAAAACATTTTATAGATATGCCTTTTTTGTGTCTGATAAAATTTAGTAAGAACAAAATTGTTTTATTTCTTGAATCGAAGTATATAGGCGAAATCAGAACTGTGTTATCTCAGATCAACTTTTCTAAAGATCAAATTTAGATCTGGATCATCGGCCGACAAGAAAAGTCAGGCTTGTCTATAAAAGTTGAATGAGAAAATTCCATATTTGAAATTTAGCAATTAGTGGATGAGTGCATATCTTTTCTTTTATTGCACTTTATGTACAAAATTTACATTTTCGTCTTCGAGAAATCTAACCGAACTAAACCAATATAACATTATATTTCATCCTGAAGACTTATTAAAATCTGAGGAGAAAAAGGAAAATGAATGCTTTTTAAAGATATTCTCATTAACTGATTAATAAATGATCGAATAAACCGGCAATATCTCGCCTGTTTTTATCGATCTAAAATATGTACAGGATGACGGGATGAGTTGAAAAATACTAGTTCTATTACAATTCTGAAGTGTGTCACCAGAGAGGACGATTATATCCCTTAATCTTGGTTCTTTGAAACATAATTATCATGAATTCTCATAACAATTCATTTTGAACTATGCTTCAAGACAACCCATATCCTCGGGCGGATGCGAGAGTTGGTAAAGAGAAGACCCACAAACACACTAACATCGATGCCTATCTACAACCATAGGCACATGAACACCACTCGCTTCGGTTAAAATGTTCAGTCATATATTGTTATCCTAACAAAAAAATAGCAACTGCTATAAATAAACTGTTGAAACGGACCATATTTCAATGCATAAACAGAACATGATCTTTAACTGAATGTATCTATATAAAATTTGAGTAGTCGTGTTGATGTTTCAAATGACATCTTCTCTTGTAAGAGTAGTAATAAAAGTATAAGAATATAATGTTCAGTTAATCCATGTCGACTAGCAGATATCTTGTATTAGCAAAGATGAATTTATTTGAGATGAAAATTGTAGTAGGAGTCAATAAGTAGTTGCTCTGAAAATTTATTTGAGACTTCTCATGAACTACTAATCAGATTATCCATAAGACTTTATCTTGTGAACTGAATTACACGAGCACCGTTTTTATCTAATCAAACATAAAATACTGCAGAATGAAAAATTCTCATTTTGCCAAATGCATATATCTTTCCTTGGTTTCAAACTTTTTCTGCGCATAGTTTGACTGATCGTTCAAGCAGTGGCTTACAACAAAATATTTCTTGAAAAAAATATTGAAGAAATAAAAACAATGAAGATAATCTTCATAATTTCATATAGTTAAAAATTAGATTAAACAAAAGAAAATGAGAACAATAACTTACAGTGGTTGTGTGAGACGTGGGTGTTAGGCTCTTCTCTTTACCTATGCCCACATCCACACCAAGAATGGGAGATTGTGGCACCAATCGTCCCTTAGCGAGAAGAGTGCTTGGAGCGGGGTACGGCTAAAGAAAATTTCGCGAAACGAAAACCTTTTTTTCACTATGGTATTTCCACATTTGGACGGATCGAGCCCCCTGAAAAAAATTACTGGGCACATCACTACCCCAACCTTTAGTTTGTAATCAATTTACATGCTTCTGCGAATAAAACGAACATGGACACCTCTGTTCCATTTGATTTGACCTAATTTTTACAGTTTGAACTTGAAATCGATTCAGTTCTGGTTTGTTTTCGACTGTACACAATCTGAATTAGGACTAGACATGTGCAGGACCTAGTATTTTTGGCCCTAATCTCAACTCCAATTAAGTTTTATTTTTCGTCTGGATCTTGGTCCCGGTGATTTTAGTTTTTCTGTTGGTTGTCTTGGTTTAGAGAAAGCTCTTTCACAATTGTATTGGTGTCAAATCTAAACTGATGCTTCAATATTCGTTTTCTTGATTTCTTTAGTTGACGAGAGAGATGTATGGGACGACATGCTTTTTGGTCCAGCATATCACTAATTAGAGCATCTAATATCTTTTAAAAAATAACCAACAATACAATTTATCTGTACGCAAAAACATCAATGCCACTATATCATTCTGATCACTAATTCAACAAGGACAAGGACTGTATCATCCAGTGACATGTATTATATTCTATATTATTAAGTAAATGTCATCACGATATTGACAGGCTTTGATACCTACGAAGTTTGCCTGGTAGCAAACATATATTTTGATCTGATCAGTATACAAAAAAAGGTTGTGATTAATAGGTTTAGTAGAATGTCATGGTAAATACTATCAAAATATTGAAATAATTTACATATGTACATATATATAAAGCATTCATAACATGAAAATCTATGATAGCAATAAATTTATTTTGATAAAAATAAATGATGCGGCTCTACACGGTTTCTTACATCATTCTGTCATTATTAGTAATTAAAAAAAGTAATGAAATTTCAAGTCCTCTTCAACCATATACAAGTTATCGATATTCAACTGAACTACAGCGTAATGTAGCTGATCTTTGGTGGACAGTAGATGAAGCTCAGCAAGAAATTACTTTTGAATTACATATTAAAACAACAGGATGGATTGCTTTGGGTATAAGCCCGGGTAAATTATTTGTTAAAATAAGTTTTTCTTTATCTTAAACTTTTTCTGTTTGTCACATATAGCTGGTGGAATGAAAGGTGCCGACATTGGACTTGGATGGATTGACCAAGAAGGTCAAGTTCGTTTTCAAGTACATACAAAATTTTGATATTTTTTCTCTATACATACGATATTTATTTATCTAATCATAGGATCGATATACGAGTGGTTTCTCGCAGCCGATCATTGATAACACAACAACAGATTGGTTCGCACTTAAAGGTCGTGAACAAAATGGTTGGACAGCTATTCAATTCAAACGATCTTTTGATACTTGTGATAAAATGGATGTTCCAATTAAAGTTTGTTATTTATCTATTTGATAAAAATTTTATAAAATTTTTGATATATGTTTAGTCTGGTACTAATACTCTTATCTTTGCGTATGGTCTTGAGGACCCTGATATGTCTCAATCAGATGGCTTAATATATTATCATGATAATCGAAGAGGTTCACGCATTATTCCTCTGCGATCTTATGGTAATCCATCAACAGAAGAAAAGTTTGCTGGTCTTGACTATTTTGAATTCAAATTTGACAACGTTAGTTATTCTATTAAAGATTACATTATCTTTTGGAGTTTATTATTTAGTTTTCTCTCAGTACGTTGTACCAGCAACTGAAACTACTTATTATTGCAAAATCTACAAAGCACCAACCAATTTTCGACAACGAAGACATGCAATTGCTGTATGTGTTTCGTTCCTTCTCCAAGAACTCATGAGAATGGCTCATAAGAAAAATTCGAAACTTTCAGGATAGATAGACTGCAATGAGTAAAACGAAAGCTATGCTATGCTCAAAATTATCGGATGCTGATATTGCCCTACAGATACTATATAGTGTCTTAGGTGCATACGGTTTTGGTTTCTTTTTATTTCCATTCATTCGAATGCTAATGACCAAAATACACGTTGTTTTACTAGAGCTTTTTTGTAAAATTTGATAAAAATCAAAAACTAGTAGGCACCCCAAGACCATAGATGTCATAATACCATTACACTGGGTATCGAGAAGTAAATGTCAGGATACCCTACAGAGTAATCAACTAAAAGTGAATTCATTTACAGGATGAAACTTGCGCATAGGGATAATGACTTCCTTACTCCATAAATGAATTACATGTTTTTAAAATTGAGGAATTTGAGTGAATTTGGGGTAACGACCTCGTTACCCCAAATTCACTCAAATTCCTCAACTTTAGAATATGTAGTTACAGTTTAGAGGTCATTACCCTAAGGGTAATACACCAAATTCACTCAAATTCCTCAACATTTAAATATACAGATCTTAAGGATAATGAGTTTGTTACCCCATAGCTCAACTATATATTTTAAACTTGAGGAATTTGAGTGAATTTGGGGTATTACCCTAAGGGTAATACCCCAAATTCACTCAAATTCCTCAAGTTTATAACATATAGTTACAGTTTAGAGGTCATTACCCTTAGGGTAATACTCCAAATTCACTCAAATTCCTCAACTTTAGAATATATAGCTATAATTTAAAAGTCGTTGCACTTAGGGTAATACCCCAAATTCACTCAAATTCCTCAACTTTATAACATATAGCTATAATTTAAAAGTCATTACTCTTAGGGTAATACCCCAAATGCACTCAAATTCCTCAACTTTATAACATATAGCTATAGTTCAAATGTCAATACCCGGAGACTACATTAAAAGCAAATGAGGCTACCGGGTGTAACGGGATTATGACACCACTCAATATTGGATAAGGTTTCAAAATCATTTGGATACAGTCCGTGAAGCAGACACTTACAGACAAACGTTAACTGCTTACTTCATTGTGAAATCTCCGTTTAAAACATATTCCAATAGTATGAACTTTAGAAAAAATAGTCGTTTCCCTAAAAGACTTGCTGAACGTACAAAACATATATATCTGGATGTGATATCCTTTATTGATGTTCATAGAGAGCAATATGCGTTTTTTCAAAAATCAAGCTTAGCTCTAGAATATTTTTTCTTGAAATATTTCTGTACGAAACCACCGTAAATATATAAATATGTACGTGAATAAGGACCAAGATTAAAATCTGACTTTTATGGGTAGAAAGATTTTTTTTTTAATATATATCCTTGTAATGTGTGTATAGATACATGTTCTTGTCAAATGTTAACCTTCATGGAACAATAAACTGAATGTTTAAAAAAAATGCAAAATAAATTGTTACTTTTCGTCTATATATGATCATGCGCAATAGGTTGATCTAAATTATATCAATTGTTTCCTAAGAAATATCTCAAGCAGAGTATTATTCATATTGACCATAAAGTCTGCGATTGATTCATTCTTATTGTATGGCATTGATTACATTAAACATGGAAATTACTGATAGTTATTGAATGATAGATAAAATAATTGCTTGTCAATACCGTTTTAGGATTGCAGCATGATTATTATAGTGTATAAAAATGAAACATTATCAAAAGATATTTCATATAGGTTCATTAGAATATCACAGAAAAAAACAGAAATTGTATTTAAATATTTTATAATCTATTTTCAACAATATTTTTTTTTCTTGATAAACCTAATTAATTCGATAGAATTTATTTTGTAAAATTTAACGTTTGAAATAAATGATCTTCGATACAAATAAAGTTCTTTGAGAATTATTTTGTTTTAGTTTTATTTTAAAATAAAACAACGTAAAGAGTTAATTTTATACATTGCTGTCTATTAAAAACAAAGATTGTTTCGAATTTTGATTAAAATCTTTTTCTAAAGTCGTTTTGCACCATTTGTATTTACAATGTCAATTGTTGACTCAAATGGATTTGATCCAGTATTCATAAAATCAATAAATATTCGTATGAAAAAGACACTATCTTTTAGATAAATACTTTGTACATTTTTGAGAAAATTCAATGGACAAAATTTAGTTATACCAACTTCGTCATTCTTCTCACTTGTTGGACGGACAAATGATAATGAATTTGCATCAGGTTTTATTATTGATACAATATGTTTTTTTTGTTTTGATTGATCACATAAACATAGATATATATTATAAGTAAATGGATATAAAAGAATTGGATCAAA